AAAACCCCCCGCCAGCCACAAAGAGCGTTTTGATGAGAGTGGCAAAGGGAAGGGTCTTGCTGGCCGCCAGGATCTGACGGACAACAGTGGCTACGTTGGAGCCTACAAGGGAGCTGGCACGTACGACCGGACACACTAGGACTGAAACTGCTTGAGGAAACGTGGACTTTTCCCCTATAACATGGCAGGAAAGGCAAATAAACATCTCATGCAACCAACCTTCTGTGTCTGTGCACCCTAAATCCAACAGGGTGGGAATGCATGGGGTGGGCACTGGATGACTCCAAAGAGTGGTGCAGCAGGTTCCCCATCTGACCACAGCTTTGATTGCTGTGTGGTGGTGTTAAATCCAAGTACAAGCTAGCCTTCTCGAGGAAATTCTCTGGGCCAGCTAGTTCACTGCCATCACACTGCTTTGCATTTCCAATCAAGTGAACAGTAGGTTAGTCTCTGAATATTTTTATTATTACTTTTTGTTTAATTATTTTTATTCTCCCCTCCCAACATGCTATACTTTTTGCTGTGATTTTTGGCTTGGGAACCAGTGTGTGCATGTTTTTGTATAGCTGCCCTGGGTTACATTTGAGTTGATGATGGTTTCTGGTGGCAGGTAGCCTACCAGTGGTGCCTGACCATACCTTAAAAGAGCACTCTTGCAGGGCATAGGATGCAACATGTACCACACTGTGGAGAGAGGAGGAGTACCAATAACACCAGTTCCTGCTTTTTGCTTTCCCCTTCCCCTATGTTAAACCCTTTCACCTGTTCCTAGCACTTGGCAAGGTCACTCATTACTGTTTCCGTAGGTTTCAGGATGCTGGCAGCTGGGGAAGAGTCTGTGAGTCTGAGGAAAGCAAATAAAGAGCTGTGGTGCAGGGGATCATGAAGGAGGGAAGGCCTGTGTGGAGCATAGCAGGCTCTCTGTACGCGGGAGGATGATTTGCAAGCTCTGCCTGCACCCAAATCCTTTCCCCAACTCCTCTCTCTTTCCCCCTCTGCCTCCCATCCCCACTGCTGTGGTTGCTTACGAGATCTCTAGTGCTGACAAGACTTAAAATCACACGTGCATTTGTTTTTTCCCCTTGGCATTTTTGCAGGCTGGTTGGACTAGCATATCTCTTGTTCCTGCTGCTGGGTCTGTGGCTGTGTGGCCAGTTTTGGGGTGCCCAGTGTGGGCACTCATCCAGGACACACTGCTGGGCAGCAGAGGGCTATGGGGAGCTCCTTGCATGTGTGACCAGCTCTCAGCCCACTGGAGCTGCCTTCCCTGCTGAGCACTTTCAGTCTCCTGAATTTAGCATAACTGAGCTTTTAGCGGTAACAGAAACAACACCTTTGGGACAGTTTCTGCTAACGTTATGAAGAATTACTTAGTTGTGCTATTCCAGTCCTACAAGCTCTCATCATGGGCCATGACGGGTGCTCAAGGCACAACACTTGCTCAGAGCACATTGCTCTTTGCCCCATAGCACTCACGAATGTCCTCCTTGCTGCCCTAACCCCAGATAACATAGCAGTTAGGTGGATCTAGGAATTAACAAGCCTCACTCACTCACTCACTCACTCACTCACTCACTCTCTCTTACGCTGTCTGTATGTACCAGTGACCTTCTAAACTACTTAAAAAACGATCCATTGTGCCCGTAGGTAACTCATGTGTGTAAAGTGGTTTGGTGACTCTGGGATATGTGGCACAAAGTCCTACGAGAAGTGAGCAGGTGCATTGGGCATAATTGGCAGGGTCTTGGTAGCTGGGGCCTGCAGGGGTGACCTGGGAGGAGGAGGTCATAGATCACCCTGTGCTGGCCCACAGCCTGAGCAGGGCTGGAGCAAAGAGATGCCACCAGCAAGTGCTGGAGCAAAGAAACACCCTGAGCAGGGGCAGGCACACAGAAGATACTGGAGGAGGTATGACTCTAGAGGGACTGTGGCTCATGGAGAAGACCACAGCAGAGCAGTGCAGTGAGAAACACGGACCAGCAAAAGAAGAGGACCACAGCAGCTGACCCCAACCCCCTGTGCCATCCATGGCCTCCTTGGAGGCACTGAGGGGATGGGAGACCAGGAAGGGCGCAGGAGAGGTGCCTGGGGGGAAGCTGATGTATTTCACCTACGTGTTTTTTCAATTGCTTCTCTTTGTTTCTCAATACCAGAATTGATAATTTAAAGTTTATGTTAGTTGGCAATAAAACAAACCATGAAATTCAGACTCAAGACTGCTGCTTTGCCCAAGGTAGTAGGAATGTGATATAGTAAAATGGAAAGAATAGGATTGGAACATATGTAAAAAAAATAGGCCTTATGCCTGCTTTTTATTTTTTTGTATAACTCAGATCTTTAAAACACATACTCAAGGTGGCTGTCCTCAGCAATGCTGTCTTGGTACATCATGTCCTGTACAACAGTTTAAGCAAAGTACCTGTAAATTAAGAGGTAACTGCATGTTGTGCAATAAAGAAAAGCTAATGCACTCAGTAAAACAAAGACAGAACATTCTCACATAGCTCTGCTTTTGCTGGCATAGCATTCCTTATTTAAATACTGTCAGCAGGTAATTGCAACAAATATTAGTATTTCAGAGCTATGATTGCTATTCCTGACGCTTTCTCGTATTAGTTCCTGAAGTGGCTCTACTCATCCTGTTGCTCTTGAGACACTCCTGCAGAAACATGGCTGAGAGGCTGCAGGACTGTATGACAGTGCCCTGGACCTGGACGCAGCTCTTTCTTTAACTGTTTTCTGTGCTTTGGTGTATGAGTCATAGTCCCCTGGTCTTCCCAGGATGAAGGGCTGATCGATTCCTTCCCCACAACATAGCACTATGTTGGGAGCACAGCTGGTGTGTGTTACAGTGTAATCAAAGATACGGTTTTGAGGTTCTCCCAGTATTTTCCACACCCGCTCACCCCCAAATGCTTATTAACTCACGATGGATAGTAATCAGCAGGGTCCTGCTGATGCTTGGTGGCCAAGCAGAAAGGCGTACTGCCTTCATGGGCCCAGCAGTATACTACCACCAAATAATGCAGTTTTCAAGCAAAAGATGTAGGTACCAGCAATCTCACAGCTGTATCAGTGTCCAGGTTTGGTGTGGCATCTGATGTCTCCATTCCTTCTAGCTGTGCTTCAAACACCTTGGGACTTTTTCATCTGGGGGGAAAGGAAGACAATGACTGCCCTCAATAACCAAACAAACCTTGAGTGTATTTCTTTGTTCAGACCTCAGCTTCCTTGTAATTAAATGACTCAAGAAATTGCCCACATACACTTCTGCAAACAAACACAGGAATGTGTTGTATTATTAGTTTCTGGTTTTTTTTTTAATATATATATATATATAAAGAAAAATATATATATATGTATCTGGCATGGAAAAAGCTGTGGGAGCTTTGGGAACAAACTGAGAGCTTTGTACTTGTGCTTGTGTAGTGTGAGTTCTGGTTTGCATTAACTCGGGTACAATGTGACCCCAGAGGGTGAATTTCTGAGTCATGATTCAATCTGTACTTCATCCTGTAATCTAACTTGTGTAGTACTCCAGCACCAACAAGAATCACTACTTGTCCTGCCTATTCCTTATAAGTAGAAACCACAAAAAGATGAGGAATGCCATGCTCACTCCCTACAGCAGCTACAGAGTGGACAGATAAAAAGGAAGTCAGGGCTGACTGAAGAGTTTAAAAATAGTACCTGGTTACTTCATGCCCCTGGGGAAGCAGTAATACCAGTGGACGTAAGATTTTAAAATAGCCAAAGACATGCATGTATCAATGACAGAGTCAACAACACATTTGCAAAAGAAAAAGAAAAAGAAGTTTATGCTCTAGTGCATTGGGAGCCTGCAAAAATTGAGGTGGCTCCCCAGTGCAAGGTGTGTGGGGGGGGTCCTCTTACACCACTGCCATCTGATACCAAATACCTGTATCATTTTGTATTTGCTCTCTTAAAGAGGCCATATTATCTAGAAAACCAGTCACACTGGGAGAAAGAGCCTTCCTTTCGGTGGTGGCTGACGTTTATTGTGCATCACTTCTCTGCGCTGTCCTTTGGCTGTCAGAGGGAGTGTGAGGGCTTTGGGAGAGGGCTGGCTGCTGATGCTTCTGATGTCATTTAAGCACCCGTTTGCATAGTAGTCAGAACAAGGCCCACGGAAGCTGCTAGAAGAGGCATGTAGCTACACACGTATAAACGGCCCAGTTTGGGGGATTTACTGGCAAGAGTGGAAATCTTGCTGAAACAAAATGACATTGATAATCCAGGTGTTTATACCCAGCTATGGCTAAGATGTGTTATTACTGTGGAAAAATAGGGAAGCACTGGCTCCAAATTACACATCTGTTGGGAAAAGGAACATTAAACCAAGCCAAACAGCCAATTTACAACTACTCCAAAGTAGAGTGGAAAAAATACCCCGGAGTCCCACTCTTTGGCAAGCTCAGCGAGCTTGTTTCTCTGGTGCATCTCTTGATGTAACCCTGCCCCCCTCCCAGCCATTCCCTTCCATGCAGTTTCCTTGCTATCTTCTAGAAATATGACTCAAGACCAACATCAGCGATTCTTTGCCAGCTGGTCATTGCTTCAGGGTACTGGATACACCAGTCAGATGGAAATCACTTGATAACATTGATGAAATCTGCACATAAATTAGAACAAGGTCTGAAGATAGATACAGCTACAGTGGCTGTGTAGTAAGAACTGAGGCAGTAGGGCAGGGCGTTATCGAACATAGGTAGGAAAAAATGACGAGAAACTACACACGCGTGTGTGTGTAATGTTTTTAAAGCAAAGTCTTCAAACTGTGCAAGATACAGCTATAAAAGGCCTCTGCTACCTGTTCTGCTGCTCAGGTGCGCAGTTACAGTCTTGGCACTCTTGCTGTGGCTGGAACCGGCACAATTTCACTTTAACAAAGGAGGAAGAAGAAATAACAGACGTTGACGTCAATGCAGCCACTGGCTGGTTCCAGCGCGGCAGGACCGACAAGTGAGTATCCATGCAAAGTAATGCCTGTGCTGCAGCGTGGGCTGATGGCTCACACTATTTTCTGTGGTATTGAACCCTTCTTTGCAAAGTTGTTTCTATTTTTTTTTTTTTCTTGCAGTGTGTATTTCTAACGTGACAGAGGCACAGGGAGCCTGG